TGTTTTACATTGCTGTGCTTGAGAGCCACCATCTACCGGAACCAAATTCCCTGTATGTGTCTGCACATATACTTGGCCAGTAAACACGATTCTGATTCTGATTCTGATTCTGAAATACATGTAGAACTGTGAAACGGCAAGAATCTAGTCTCGAGAGAAAGGTGTAACTCAAAGCAAGCCACTATTTCTCTGTTTCTCTCTGGGTGTGTGTGTGGAGAACAATGCGTTATTAACAGACTCCTGGGCTTTTAAAAGAAGACCAAAATTACAACAGCAGATATAAAACCTTTATGATGCAAATAACATCAACAACGAAAGATTTAAAAGCTAGTTTTTCTTGTTTAACTCCACGTAGGCCACAAGTTAGACTATAGTGTGACTGGACCACTTACTGCTGAAAAAATATATGCAGATTTAAAGATTCAGTTTGCAGTTTGCTCTTCCATAAGTGTGGATTATGTGCAGTTATAAACCTTTACAGTCAAAATGTATATTAATATACTGGTTATAGTGCTAATTATTACAAATGATTACGGTGATATTGTGAATACTGAGTCCTTGGACATGATGTGAAAGATTTGATCAACTGTACTATATGATAAAAATATATTTTTCATGAAATGTTATACAAAAAAGCAAAGAGTTTAGCATTTCCATTTCTATTTTTTTTGTATTAATTTCTAATTGTATACACAAACATACCTATTCTGCAAATTCAAAGATCAAGCTGAAATTCATTCTCTGAATTATTATTGTTGTAATTCAACTTAAGCATGTTTTTTCGTTTAAGTGTGGTTCAAAAATTTCTTTGGCAGTGGACACTGAAGGTTTTCAAGTGACTCGTGATTTCCTGCCACTAGATGGCATAACTGGCTCGTACATAAAAGCGACCTATTGAGCCTCTTCACTAAAGGCAACTCTAGGAAACTTCTAATACTTCTAATACCGTCTTGTAATACCAAACTGTTATAAGTTCAGGCTATAATATAGGCATTTGAGCAAACCGGTACAAACTAAATAAATACATAAAAATAAGGGAACATTTAAATCATACATCATATCGCGATGAATGAAA